TTTACCCTAGTTTCAGCATCTAGTTTAATTACCCATTGCTACATCATAAATTATGTCAAACCGCTGTAGCTTAAAGCCCTGTATACATTTATGATCTCTGAGATCATAAATGGGTCAAGAATTTGGCAGTAACACAGCTGAGTGGTTCTGGCACAGGCTCTCTTGAGGTTGCATCTAAGACGTTGGCCAGATAGTGCAGTGGAGTAGTCCCAGGCACTGAGGAGGCTGAGACAAGAGGATTGCAAGTTCAAGGCCAGCTGGCAATTTAGCAAGATCCTGTCTCAAGATAGATGAAAGAAAAAAAGTGGATTAAAAGGGCTGGAGTAGAGATCAGTGGTAGATACCTCTGAGCTAATCCCCAGCACTGAAAGAAAAAGGTACCAGCCAGAAGTGACAGTCCTCTGACACCACTTGCAAGGTACCACACTTTCTCATTCCTGATAGGTCAGTGCTGTAGCTGGAAGGGCCTCCATTCTGGACCACACAGAACTCTGCTCAAAGCCACTGGAGTGTCATCAGGACCCGAGGGCGGGCGCTTCGCCGGGAGCAAGTGTCCTATGACCTGGTCTTGCAATTGCTGTCTTTTCCTCAATAGGTGTTGGACACAGTCACTAAGTTCAGTCCACATGCAGGGGAGGAAGGGGGCTAGCAGAGGAGTCCAGAGAGGGTATCACAGGACCAACGCACGGTTCCAGCCTGGTTCCGTCCTCTGAGACCTGCAAATTAACGACTTCCCAATGCTCCTGTCTTACTTCTGAAGCAAACCCCAATGTCCTATTTCATCTTCTGTGCACCACTGTAAAAAGATATCTGAACTGTTTTACATTTAAAGTGATTTCTTACTATTATCAAGTAACAAGATTATCAAGTAACAAGTCAATATTTAAAATTCCACTTGTCTCATTTATACTGTATTTTTTCCCATATTTTTATTGACATATAATTTACACACTATAAAATCACCCTTTGGTTGTTTCTGTTCTGGGGACTGAACTCAGGAATTTTGCCCTGAACTATATGCCCAGTCCTTTTTAAAAAAACAATTGAAACTCAGTAATCCCAGCACTCAGGAAGTTGAGGCAGAAAGATTGCTGTGAGTTCCAGGCCAACCTGGGTTACAAAGCAAGATCAAGTTCAGCCTGAACTGCATAGAGAAACCTTGTCACAAAAAGACAAACAATTAAAAAACTTTTGGAAATGGGGTCTTGCCAAATTGGCTAGGCTGGGCTCCAATTTGTGACCCTCCCAGAGTGCTTAGATTATGGCCGGACGTCATCACCTGGCTCTTCTCATTTTTTGGGTGGAGGACAGGGTCTCTCTATGCAGCCAATTGGCCTCGAATTTGCAATCTTTTTGCCTCAGCCTAAGTACTGGATTACAGGTCTGGGCCACCATGTCTGCCTTTAAAATTCATCCATTTAAAAATGTATACAATTCAGGGGGCTAGAGATTTAGCTCAGCAGCATAAGCGCCTGCCTTGCAAGCAGGCAGTCGTGAGTTCGATCCCCGGTACCGATAAAAAGGAAAAAGACAAAAAAAAAAAAAAAAAATGTATACAATTCAGTATAGTGTATTCTCAGGAGGTGTGTGGACATCACCATGCCAAAAAGAAACTCTGTACCTCTTTTTTTGTGTGGGGGCGGGGTCTCTTTTTTTGCTATTTTCTTTTTTGGTACCGGCAATCAAACTCAGGGCCTCGAGCTTGCCAGGCAGGCGCTGCACCGCTGAGCTATATCCCCAGCCCAGAAACTCTACCTCTTAATCACTTCCCGTTTTCCATCCAGCCCCTGGCAACACTAGTATGCTAACCATTTCCATGATTTACCTTTCTGCACACCTCACCCAAAGATGGAATTAATCTGTGACAATTTGTGTCTTGCTTCTTTCTCTTAGCGGATTGTTTTGAAGATTAGCCCCTGCTGCAGCACCCCTCAGGACTTCATTCCTTTTATGGCTGAGTAACATCCCGTCACATGGATGTACATCCACACTTTGGCTTTTATGAATAACAAACACTCACAGAGAGTTCTTGTGTAGAACTGTTTATTAGTGTTTTAATCAGGACCATAACAAAGTCTACAAGATGCCACCAGGTGACAAGTTTTTAAGTATCTACAGATTCCTCTCATTTCTCGATATTCTTCTTCAGTTTGTTGAGCTGGGGTCACTTGTTCTGCAGTTACTATAAGTGAACACAAACCTTTAAAACATAGTTTCATAAACTGGCAGATGCTGAGGCCTGACCTGAATCGCTTTCTGGGTGGGTGAGGCAGATGGCATTGTAGGAAGTCCACAACACACTGTGAAGCTGTTTGTTTATGAGCAATGGTGGTCACTGTCTAGGTCCACTATGAGAAACAGTGGTGGTCTGATTCTCTTGTCCTTTTATTAGCTGGAATACAACATAAAATTTGCCCTCAACTATTTTGCTACCCGGGGACTGATTCTGTGTATAATGTCCTTGATTTGTTCCCTTTATATACTAGTTTTCAATGTTTGGGTCACTGTCACCTTCTAATGATGACCAGCTACTTGTGGGTTTTAAAAATCAACTCAAGGGGCTGGGGATTTAGTTTAGCGGCACAAGTGCCTGCTTTGCAATCAAACACTCTTGAGTTCGATACCCAGTACCAAAAAAAAAAAAAAAAAAAAAAAAAAAAAAGCAACTCATCTTATGAGACAAGTACTGTATTTGTGACTATAATTTTATGGTATTTAATTCCTATCAGTATGGAAAACTAAGGTCTTTTCTGGTGTATAAACTGGTGTTTGTTGTGAATTAAAGCTTACTTTTCTGTAAATAAAAGACGAAGTACTATTCTTTAAAATTAGAATCCATTCAGTCATCAAATGATCTGAAGTGTTCTAACCCACCGAGCTGCTCTTTTCCGATGTTGGTCACACTGCCCCATGTCTGGCCAGTGGTTCTGACTGGCTAGTTGGTTCCTAAGTGGTTTTTTTTTTTTTTGTTTTCCCCCCAAGTGTTTTAACATCACTAGTCTTTGGTAGCTTCCTTGATAATCTTGATATAATAAATTCAAGCTCCTTTGTGTTTCTTGCTCATCTGGAATGAACTTTTTTTTTTTTTTTTGAGACAGGGTTTCACTATGCAGTTCAGGATGGCCTTGAACTAACCTTGTAGCCCAAGCTGCCCTCAAACTTGCAGGAATCCTCCTGCCTCAGCCTCTGAATGCTGGGATTACAGGCGTACACCACCATGCCCAGCCTGCTTTTCTCTAGGACTCTGGTTCCTTCAGTGGTAAACATTTCAAGACTACTCCAGAAGTGGGTAGTGTGTAGGTCAGTATGTGTGAGGCTCCCAGTTCAACCCAGTATAAAAACAAACAGGAAACAAATCGCTGCTAATTCAGAGGCAGAGATGCTCAATGCCGTTGAATCCATTCCTCCTAAATCTCTTCAGTAGGAAGAGGAAACATGGTTCATTTTCTTTCATTTCCAGATAAAATATGTTGTAAATGCATGTAGATGGCTACAATGCAAACTTGGGACTAGAAGGGTCTTTTACCTTTTTTATCTTTACATCTTTCTTCTAGGCAGAGAGAATGCCAGTGCTAATCTGTAGTGAAAACAATAGATTATCACTGGGCCGGATAGCTCAGCGTGGGAAGGCTTCCGCATCAGCACCAACACAAATAAATGAAAACATTCTTTCCCTTTTTTTCCTGCAGATATATCTCACTAATGACGGCCAAATTACTGTTTGAATTCAAATGTTTTTTGAATGTGGATATTTAGATTTACTATCTTCATTTTAAAATAATTTAATTTGATTTTGTAACTAGTAATGTATTCATAGGGTTTCCAAGGTCAAGTCTATAATAAATTGTAATGAAACTTATTTTTATGTATCTTGTTTATTCCTTCTCCCAGGCAGCCATTTTTAAATGTTTAATTGACCGTCTCTTTTTTTGTGCAGTACCAGGGATCCTCCCTTTTTTTGACAGCATTTTTTTTTTATCACCACTATACTAACGAGGATGAGACAGCATCTTGCTGGGGCCCAGGCTGGGCTCAAGTGATCCCTTCACCTCAGCTTCCCAAGTATAGGGGTACATATTTCAGTTCATAAGTGCTTCTGTTTGTGGACAATTTGATGTGCAAATGAAAGTATCTAGCAAAATCTTGTTTGCGAGCTCTGCATGCAGTGAGGGCCATGACCTAGGCCCTCTTTCCCACATGGATACAACTACTGCCAGCTTTTCCAGAATCATGGCACGACTCAGATTTTTGAACCAAGGTACCTCTGTAGCTGGGATTACAAGTCCCGTGTCTGGTTTACCCCAATCTTTTAGCAGGACAACTGCATAGGGTTTTAATACTTCACCAGGTTTGAAGATCATGAACCTAAGAAAAGCTGATCTATCCAGCAGTCCTCCTCCTCTATAGGAGGTAAGTCCTCATACCTCATGGATACTCCCCCCCCAACCTATGATAAAGTTAATTTAGAAATTACACACAGTATGGGTCACTCATCAGAACAACTCCTGAAAATCCAGGAGGTATTCTCCCCTTCTCATTTCCAATAAAACCTTTGTACCTTAACTTACTGTTATTGCTTATTACTAAGTAATAATATACTGCAATTTTTAGAAAAGTTGGTATCACTCCGCCATAACAAAAAGGTCTGACACCCGAGAGGGCTAATAAAGGACAGGAAGCATACACACTGGACAAAAAAGCACAGTCCATGTCTTAGGCAAGATGAGGCAGAGTGGCTTGAGAATTCCTCTTGGGACTTAGAACAACTCACAGTTTAAAACATGAATTGCTAGTTTCTGGAATTTCTCTTTGTATTTTCAGACTGAAGTTGACTTCAGGTAACTGGAACTACAGAAAGTAAAAACACTGATCAGGAGAAATTACTGTCCCTGTGTATCTCAAGCAACATTTTGAAGAAGTTACCTATAACCAGCAACACTGGTGCAGTAAAATTCAAATTAAAAGCAGCTATACCACTCCCATAACAGAAAAAAACCGAATACTGAATATATACAATTTATTTAATAAATTAATGTCATTCAAAATACAGTGCCAGAACATTATGCAGTTGAACATGCTAGTAAGGTTTGTCATGAAGCACCTGTGCTCATATTAGACTGGCGGCGCCCCACTACTGCTAGTGGTTCCTGGGATTAATGCCAGAGCAGTGCTAGTTATCTGCTCTTCTGCACAGCTAGTGCAGAAAATTCCTGAACAGTTCACTTTCCTAATCCTACCCCCCAACACACACACATCAGGTTTAAAAAAACACACCCTGAAAGCTAACAGGTAACTATACACAATCACTCTACAGTAATGCTTGTTATTAAATTAGATGTAATGACCTGGTTAACCCACTCTACGTCTTTAAGATGGAGAACTACATCAGCAGCAGGTAGTTATATGCATGAGCCAATGTTAATGTAATACAGAAGTGGAGACGTTTACTGATGAAAGCTCCACAGACCCGCACAATGAGGGGCTCACAATTTGTGTTGCAAGCCCAGCAACTTAAGTCCACACCTGGCAAATGACCAGCTGGCTGGACAACCTGTATTCTAGAAAGACAAGTATAAGTTAGTGGAAAGAGAATACATGCACCTAATAGTAGAGTTAGACTGATCCTGCAGTCATAGCTTTCCCTGTGTGACACCATAAAATTATGGAAGCTCTTCCTCAGATATAGTATAGGATTTATACTGTTCTATACCAACATGGACGTTAGTGTTAAGTGCAGCTGAATTAATTACACTGGAACAATTGTATTCCAGAACTTAGAACAGAAGCACAGGAATGAAATACATATACTAAAATAACCTCGGCACAATCTGTGATATACCACACTAGGAACAGAAAACTACTTTTATAAGTGAACATTTTGAACTGTACATACACAGGGCTAACAATGTTAGATAATCCAGACTCTCATGTTCTCTGATACACATAAAAGTTTCTCAATTACTGAATAGCCTATTTCATATTATGGAAGCATATCTTTCTGTAAGACTCACTGATATATATTATACTGATACAAATATTAAGTAGGGCATAAAAATAAAAATTTATCAAAGATAGATTTTTATGTACTCATACTGTCTTTTCATAACCTCTCTTCTTTAGCAAAGCAAATGACAAAGCAGGTGAACCGGATGTGTTCCCTGAACTCTCCAACTATACAGGTGGAAGGGCAACCATTTCTCCATCCAGTTCAAACTCCTCCGTCCCATCTGGTGAAAAAAGGTAAGTTGGTGGTTTCCACGGAGATTCTTCAAGGCAGGATGGATAAAGCTTCCCCACAGTGCATCGGAAATCTCGCCCTAGGTCCCACAGTACACGTTCAGATATATGCTGCCGCAGAGACCACCGGTCAAGTTCCAGATCATACTGGTAGGTGACATATTTAGCACGCTCATTTAAGTGGGTTTCTCGCATAAACACACAAAGAGAATTTGAGATCACAACAGCTCGGACACAGGGGTCAGAGTACCTCTTGGCAGGGATGCTCGCTGCCATTTTCCACTCATTTTTATTCACATCATAAATTTCCACAGTTACTGAAGACCCATCTACAGTGCCAGAGGGCAGTCTTATGCCAGAATTGGTAGCAATATGTAACCCTCCAATGTAGAAAATTTTATCACCAAAAGCTGCAGCTGAAGCAAAAGATCTGCTAGTCTGTCTCATGGCCATTTCTACCCAAGAATCAGACCTTGGAAAGTAACAGTACATGAGGTTCAGTGTCATCACATAAATGCAGTCGTGGACCACAACTGCTGCACTCCACTGCCAAGCACAAGGCAAAGGGCTTACCATTGTCCACTCGTCCTTCTCGGTGTCATATCTCTCTACGGTCCTCCGGTTAAGCTCTCCACCTACACTGTCTCCTCCAATTGCATAGATATAGCCTTCACAGCAAACTAAAGATGGCCTGACACGGACAAAAAGCATTGGAGTCTTTGGAAACCAGGTATTTTGCTGTGCATCAAACCAATAAAAGCAATTCACAGTTCTGAAGGCAGTTTGAAGTTTACTTGTTTTACTGTGGTTTGTTTTTGTGTTTTTCAGAGGAACTTGGCCCCCTGCTATATAGATGTCATTATCGGGGGTTACAACAGTTCCAACCTTATGCAAATCAGCTGGTGGGCTGCAAAGCTTATAAACTTTTTCTGCTTGGGGGCTGTAACAGACAGAGGAGTAAAGACTACAAGGATTTTCTGAAGATGCTTCAATGAAAATCATCATCTCCTCTTTAGTCATCCCAAGTCTTGGCTTGAAAAACTTAGGCATGGACTTATAAAGACCTTGAACTACCACAGACTTATCATTGGGTGGTAGGCCTTGAAACCAAGCTCTCTGTGTTACTTCTGAAAGTGCATCAATTCTGATTTGGCTAAGAACTGAAGACAAATACTGAGATCGTGATTCTGTGTTGTACTCCAGCCACAGCATAGCAGCTTCTCGAACTGTTTCTTCCTTTTCCACATTTAAATTGTCGCTACTGAGGATGTCTATCAGTAGGTCATGTGACAACTGCATGAATGCTTCCTGGTGATAGACAGCAGTGAACTTGTGTTCCACCATTCTTTTAGCACTCTGTTTTAATTCTTCGCAACTGAAGAGATCAGCAAAACTCAACAGTCGCACACAATTCTCTGCATTTATCTTTTTAATTAAATATTCTCGACAACGTTGTAATACATCTTCTACCTAAAATTAAAAAGAAAAAGAAAGGGCATAAAGGTAGAAAAGACAAATTTTCCTTTTGTGGTGCTGACGACTGAGCCCAAGGCCTCGGGGAGATAAAGTGCATGCTCTACCACTGACCCAACCCTTAGCCCCAATCTTTTTCTAATACTAAGCAGAGCATCTGCACTCTGTTATGATGTCCTCTAGTAAGAGTAAAATTAGAAGAATGTGTGTAGTTTTCCATTTATTTTTCTTAACCAGTGGCCTATTTCACTGTCTCAGTAAGGTGTAATATTAAATAGCCAGGGGGCTGGGGATTTAGCTCAGTGGCATAAGTGCCTGCCTTGCAAGCAGACAGTCGTGAGTTCGATCCCTGGTACCGATTGGTACCGATGAAAAAGGAAAAAGACAAAAATAAATAAATAAATAAATAAATAAATAGCCATTAGAAAAAAAATACCCCCGCAGGATAGTTTACAGAGATTGCTACACACATTATACTTTTTGTACCTCAGACATTATTTTCTGAGTTTTTAAAAAACAAGGTCTTGGGGCTGGGGATTTAGCTCAGTGGCATAAGCGCCTGCCTTACAAGCAGGCGATCCCCAGTACCAACAAAAAGGAAAAAGACCAAAAAAAAAAAAAAAAACCAAAAAACAAAAAACAAAAAACAGGGTCTCACTCTGCAGCCCAGGCAGGCCTTGAATTCACAGTGATTCTCCTGCCTCAACCTTCCAGGAGGTGGGATTACAGGTGTGTGCCTCCACGCCCAACTTCTAGTTTGAACATTTAAGAAGGGAACATGAAGAAAGCACAGAGTAAAACAGTTTAAATATATCAACCAATACCAAGTTTTTATTTTGTTTGCTTACCACTTCAATATAATCCCTTGACCACTGTGAATATTTAAATTTGGTAGTTTCCATAAAAATCTTAGGTTTTTTCATAAAAATACATAAACACATTGAAATTAAAGCTTTTAAATTTAATATAAAAAAATAACTTGAAATCTAGGTCCTTGGATATGTTAAGAGTATGAATATGAAATCTTCACCTATCTTTTAATCCTCTTATGAAACTACTTACAGGCTAAACAAACCCTATTCTTTTTCCTTTTCACATTTTTAAAGTGAAGAGGTCTACCTTTTAAGTTCTACAATAAGAAAATCATGCAGTTACCAGCTATTGCCCATGAAACGACATTTCCTGAAGGAAAACAACCGCTTACCTGCAGAAAGCAAGCTGTTTCATACAGCTGTTCTACGGTGCTGTCACTCACGGCCAAGTTCCCCGTGTACGCATATGTGATTATTGTCTGCAGAGTGGCGGCATCCACATTCCTCAAATGTACATGCGTCTGCTTGCTCTCACTCAGGCCACTCATGAACATAGCCCTAGAGCAGGAAAGAAAGCACAGCTTAAGAATTTTAGTGTAATGTCAGGGATTTAGCTCGGTAGCACAAGCGCCTGCGTGGTTAAGCGTGAGGTTTGATCCCAGTACAAAAAAAAAAAAAAAATAATAATGTAAAACAAATGTAGAGCTAAAAAGAAGACTCTTGGAGGATGTGAGAGGCATGTATAGTCCAGTGCCAAAGATACACTAAACTATTCCACTATGCCATAATCACACATGGAATATTACTCAGTAATACCACTAAGTATTGATAAATACGGTAACACAAATGAGACTTAAAATATACTCAAAAACGGTGATGCATGCCTGTCATTCCAGCATTTGTAGAAGCTGAGGCAGAGGTCACAACTTCACACCCATTCTGGACAATAATAAAAAGGAACTAGAGATTTGCAGCTTAGTACAAAGGCCTTGGGCTCAATCCCCAGTATAGCAACAAAACAAGAACAAAAACCACTATGCTCTCAGTAAAGAAGCTAGTTACAAAGACCACATACTGTATGAGTTCCTTTATATGAAATGCCCCAAAAAGGAAAATACAGAAAGAAAGGAAAATAGATTAGAGTCAGGCGTGGTGGTGCATGCCTATAATCTCAGCATTCAGGAGGCAGAATAGCTGTGAATTCAAGGCCAGCCTGGGCTACAAAGTGAGCCTAAGGCCATCCTAAACTGTACAGTAAGACTCTGTCTGAAAAAAAAACAACACACACACACACACACACACACACACACACACACACACACACACAGACCAGGAAAAAAAAAAAAGGTAGACATACGCTATAAATATATTCAAAATTTATCCAATTGTACAATTGCCCCTCACTATTGGCCAAGAGGTGGTTCGAGGATGTCCTTTATATAGAGTCCCTTATACAAAAGGCACAGTGTGCATAATCTATCCGCATCCTCTTATGGACTTCATTCCTCTCCAGATTATTTGTAATGCAAGGGAAATGGAAATGCTATGGTAACTGGCTACTATCTAAGAACAATGACCAGGAAACTACCTACCTATTTAGTGTAAATGAAATTGTTTTCTTCACATACATTCTCAATTTACATTTGGGTGACTACATTGATGAGAACCACTGATGGGGAAGGTTGACTATATATATATTTTTGACTATATATTTAAAAGGGTGGACTTTATGGTACGTAAATTATACCATAATAAAGCTAATTAAAAATTTCATTTACTCAAAACGATTTTCTACAGCTATGTAGGACACTTTCCTCAGGTCAGCCTGAAATACACTGAACCTTGTCTCAAAAAAAAAAAAGGCACTTTCCTAAAAGCTGTTACATGTATGAAATTGCTAAAAATGTGACTGGTATCATGATGAATAAAACGGAAAATATTTAGCTGTGCATACACATAGAGAAAAGCTCCTGCATGTACTAGTAAAAGAGAGCAACGGAACAGTGACTTTCGGGGTCAGGGTTAGCTCAGTGGTGTAAGCCCTTGTTGTAAGCCCAGCAAGCACGAAGTCGTGAGTTCGATCCCTGGTACCAAAAACAACAACAAAAACTGACTTGCTTGGGTCTCTTAAGCACAAAGAAACATGGGAGGCACTCAAAATGGGGGAGAGGACACAACTGTTTAAGTGGTACATGTAAATATAAAATTCACATAGCACACTGGAAAGTGACATGTAAAGTTGAGTAGCAATCGTGTCACAGGTGGTCTTTAAAATAAGACAAGGGCTGGGCAGTTGTGTATGTCCAGCCATGTGGGAAGCCCTGGATCAATCATCAACATTCAAAGTAACACTGAAAGGCTCTGAATACAGATCTAGCATGATAAAAGTACTACAGGATGAATATACCAACAGATCTCAAGACCAAAGCCTGGGGACAAGAAAACTGGTTATGAGGACACAGCAATCATCTAGATGAGGGATGAGACCTAAGGGGAGGTGGCAGAAATGAACAATGAAACTCTTACGAAGAGTCTATAAGATCTATTTTTGAACAGAAGGAATTGGGTTAGCACAAACAACAAGACAAGAAAGAGTCAATGTTATTTCCTTATATTCAATTAAGCACCTCAAAAAACAGAAAACAACCTGTAAAGCCAAGAAGGAAAGATAAACTTAGGAAAAAAGTTAAATTTTGGATATATCTGAGAGCAAATGTGTGAAATGGAAAAATAATAATCAAGTAATAGTAGCAAGACACCAGGGGATATGCATTAATGCAGATTATGAGTCAAAGACAGGTAAGTGATATGAGAAAGACTCGACAGATCTGGGTGTCAAAGGAAATAGGCTGGGAAAAAATGAGCAATAGGGATAGCAGTTAAGATTCCAGGAAGTAGGGGAAGGAAGAGGGGGAAAAAATAGTACCAACCAGGTTGGCTGATGACTTCTCACCACAGGACAGAGGATGGCCATAAATAAACCAAGCTAAGTGATGAGTCAGGAAATGTTCCTGAAACATACTGAGAACACCTACTGCCACCAGCTTCATCTGTCTGACATAGAAAAATGGGAGAAATTGCAAGAAACTGCAAAAAGAACCATAAGAGCTGAGTAAAAAAATACAAGATTTGTCAATCAAGTGGATTTTACAATTATTCCTGCAGGAAAAATGGGGCAGGTCAAAGGCAATAGTCACCTATATGAGACTGGTTACCCTGACCCCTGATGGTGAACCTTTTTAGAGCTTTCGACAGGATACTAACAGCATGCTGTGGTCAGTATGGTAGCACACACCTGTTAATTACAGCACTCAGGAGGCTCAGGCTGGAGGATCACTGGGAATTTGAGGCCAGCAAGTTTAAGACCAGCCTGAATTGCATAGTGAAACCTTGTCTCAAAAAGACAAAACAAAAACAAAAACAACAGCCTGCTCTGGCATGCACTGACAGAGGTTCACCACCACTGCTCCAGTCTACACCTCATGGTGTTAGAATAATGGACTTACGTAAAGCAACTTTCCTACAGATCAAAGATAGCAGAAACAGACATTCTGATCATGAAAGTTTTAAAATGATTATCTTTCAGAAAAAGCAAATAATTATATAATGAGACAAAGTACCTAGTATAAGTACTAATTCTTCTATTTTTCTAAAATAAACACTTGGAAGGCTGAGGCAGGAGGATCACTGCAAGTTAGACACCAGACTGGGCTACAAAGTGAGTTCGCCGCTAGTCTGAAGTGCATACTTTGATCTTGTCTCAAGAAGACAAAAAACAAAACAAAAAGGCAGAATGTCTAAATCTGTAATAGCATTATATGCAAACCAGCTGAAGAACAGAAAGATCAAACTACTATAGGAATATATAATATACACGACCCTACCCATTCTACAAGTAAGATAAATGGGAAGGGAAAAAAGTAATAGTTGGGTGTTTTCTTCTTATGGATATAAAGTAGGCCCAGACACAAGATTTTCATGATGGGTAACTTTAACTCCAAATGTTTTTTTTGTTTTGTTTTTGAAACCAGGGAATGAACTCATGACCTCGCACTTGCCAGGCAGGAGCTTAAATCACTGAGCTAAATCCTTGGCCCTAACTCTAAACATTAATAGGACTATATGATTTGCTTTAGAAACACCAGATTCTTTCAAATGGTCGAAGAAACTAAAGGGAATTACCTAGTGATAAGGAAACAATGTAAGTCCTGAAAAGGACTCTGTTGTCATTAAGACTGTAATTCTTTTCTTTTTTTTAGACAGGTCTCTGAGAACCTGTTTTAAAAGGGGGGGGGGGGGCCCGGCCCTGGGGATTTAGCTTAGCGGCATAAGCACCTGCCTTGCAAGCAGGCAGTCGTTAGTTTGATCCCTAGTACCGATAAAAAGTAGGGAAAAAAAAAAAAATGGGAGGAGGGCAAGGGAAAACATGTAAGTAAATTCATGTATTAATTCCTGGTAAGGATGACAACACAGAAAATATTAACACAATTTCTGCATAGGTTTAAAAGTTACACCAAATGGTGCCTGAAGTTTCCTCTATTATTACAAATATCAGTCTGAAAATCTATAAGGCATAAAGCTTTTTCCATGAGTAGGTAATCTTAATGGCTGTTAAAGAGGGAAAGCTTAGGTGCTGGGGATTTAGCTCAGTGGCATAAGCGACTGTCTGGCAAGCGCAAGGTCATGAGTTCAATCCCCCATACCAAAAGAAAAAGAAAAAAAAAAGAGAGAGAGAGACAAAAAGCTTAAATATGTAAACTTAAATTTGTAACACCATCAGCTACAACAATAGCTTCTTTTAAAAAGAAAAACTCTGGCCGGAGATTTAGCTCAGTGGTATAAGCACCTGCCTGGCAAGCATCAAGTTATGATTTTCCCCATCCCCCAGAAAAAAGAGTAAGAAAAACTCCACATTACAATTGAGTCCCTAACTCCAATCCACTGAATCAGAATTTTTGATTTGTTAATTCCAATAACTTACATTTGGAAAAGCACCTAAGAGGATTCTGATGGCTGACTAGGCTTTTGGGTTTTTTGGAGGGGTTTCAGGGATCAAACTCATAGCCTCAGGCTCAGCCAGGCAGGCACTTGTGCCTAGCCCAAGAGCTGCTGGGTGTGGTGGCACATGCCTGAAATCCCAGTACCTGGGAGGCTGAGTCAGGATGATCCTTTTGATCATGCTGATGCCAAGTTTGAGACCAGTCTGGACCACAAAGTGAGCTCAAGGCCAACCTGAACTGTACTGTGAGTCCCTATTTCAAAAAGACCTAAAACAAAACAAACATACTAGTCCCTGCCTGAGTAGGTTTTATGACCATTATTTACAAATAAGTTATTCCTAACACAAAATCAGTGTCAGAAAATGCATGACAAGTCTACAACTTAAACCGAAACAAAAATTATAGGCACAGTTTTTAGGAAACTGGCAATTTGGCCTTAGCTTCTGAAATTATCCTGGCCTATGTAAGGAATGTGAAGTTTCCATAACTTCATGTATTTTAGCTCAGTGGCATAAGCCCCTGTCTGGCAAGCACAAGGTCCTAAGTTCCATGCCTGGCACCAAAACAGCAAAACAAAACAATTAAATATCAATAACTTCATGTAACAGCCTTGAATGGTCAGTTTAATCTGCCCTGTCAATAGCTGCCAATAGAGTCCTAAAAACAAATTCACGGCTGGTCCGACGGCAGTGGGTTATCACAACTTATTAACATTAGTGTCACTAAAGTTGGTATACCACCCCCCCACACCGCTAAATTTGACTGGCTTAAAAAACAACAACAACAACAAAAAAAAAACTCACTGCTAATTTCTACTTATGGCTGCTAGTATGCACACCAGGACTACATTCATCTTTATTTACCTTGTCTTTTTGCAGTAGTAAGTAAAAGTCAGTATTAGGGTACACAGAATAAATAAAACAATTTCTATGTCTTAGCTTCTATTTTTCTCATGAAACTATAAAATTAAGTTTTATTTATTTGCCATTAGCATAACTGAATCAATTGTTTAAGTCCTCTGGCACAGAACACAAAAAATTATTAATTATCAAACATTTAAAGCTGTTATAGTCTACTAAGGCTAAATGTATATCACAAATGATAATAGGATCTAACAGTGAAAATAATATATTTTTGTGAAAGAACTCCTGACATGTCTGAACAGCACTATCTACTAAAATTTGAGCCCAATACAGGGCTTCAGTGTACAAACAAGTATCACTGTTTCCTAAATGAATTTTGAATTCAAGTAAATTAACCCACTTATATGTCCTGTATCCAAAATTACAAACTAAAGGGGCTGGGGATTTAGCTCAGCGACATAAGCACCTATCTTGCAAGCAGGCAGTCGTGAGTTCGATCCCCAGTACCGATAAAAAGGAAAAAGACAAAAAAAAAAAAAAAAAAAAAAAAAATTTACAAACTAAGATTAAAGTTACTTACCTGAAGTAAGAGCTACATGTTGCAAGAACCATCTTATGACAAGGGAATTCGGTGCCTTCGACAATTAATACTATGTCAGTAAACAACTGCTGTTCATAAAACAGTTTCAACTGTTCCAACAAGGACACAGCATATTCCGTATTGATCTGCCTCTCGTCTTGAGTGGACATGACTATATTCCATTAATATCTCCGAAGCAGGTTAGAAAAGTCAGTCTTGATGGAAGGTCAAGTGAATACTTCAGAAATGAAGGATGGCGTTGGCTTGCTGTTGTTATCTGCAGCAGTCAGAACCAACACTAACAAACTCACTCTGAATAGTATCTCGTTATAGGCTTAAAATCACCACTAGGTCATCCTGTGTGAATTAGGTTCTTCAGAGTTTTTCAACACAGTCTGCAGACATTGTGCTCACATTTGCAACTATGCAACTCATGAGTAAAAGACAGAAATACAGGAGGTAGATTTGCGGCCACATTCTACGTTCAGAGGATTCCTGGGAGAACTAAAAAGAAAAAAAAGTTCAGTTACAGTACATTTAGGCCAGTATACATTTTAAATACATTCAGGAAGGCTTCATATTTAATTCTTTTTTTTGGTCTTTTTGAGAGTGTTTCATTATGCAGTTCAGGCTGGCCTTGTTTGTAGTCCAGGATGGCCTCAAACTTGCAGCAACCCTCCTGTCTCAGTCTCCCAGTGCTGGGACTGTTGGCATGTACCACCACACCTGACTTTATACCTAATTAAATTGAATTACTTCTAAAGTATAACAAAGTATACTCATGCAAAGCCAGGTGGTGGCACACTCCTACAATTCCAGCACTGGGGAAGATAGCAGGAAGATTGTTGCAAGTTTGAGACCACCCTGCGGGACTACAAAGTGAACCTCAGGCCAGCCTGCTGTATAAAAACATGTAAGAAGTGCACAGTGTGTGGTTTTAGAGACAGAGAGAAGAGAGAGAATACAACCAGGGCCCCAAGTATGGGTAAGCTCTCTACTACTGAACTATATACCTCCAGCCTAAACTTTAGTATTTTTAAATGTGTAGTTCAATCTTGTAAGAGAAGTATACATAATTTATCTTTTTGAAAGCCAGGTGTGGTGGCGCATGCCTATAATCCCAGCACTCTGGAAAGCTGAGGGAGGAATAACAGATGTTTGAGTCTAGTCCAGGTAACTTAGATTTAGCAAAGCCCTGTCCCAAAATTTAAAAAAAGGCTAGGAGGTTGAGGATGGAGCTCAGTGTAAAGTCCCTGGGTTCCATTTGCAGTATAAAAACAAAACAAAACAACTACAAAAAATATAATGATTTTGACTCTCCACAGAATGCAACCTTCCTAGGACTCATAAATAAGTGTATAATTTTGCAGCAGGGATACAGCTCAGCGGCATAAGCATGTGCCTGGCAAGACAAAGTCATGAATCTGATCCTTGGTACCAAAACAAAACAAAACAAAACATACAACTTTATTAAAGGGGCTGGGGATTTAGCTCAGCGGCATAAGTGCCTTCCTGGCAAGTACAAGGTCAGGAGTTCGATCCCCGGTATGAACAAAACAAAACAACTTTATTAAAGAAAAACATAAAACATGGCTACATAAAGGTATGTCTCCCTAAACAGAAAACACTGTATTATACAAACACAAATGTCCTCTAAATTAATGTAAATTTAATACAAATCCAATCTAAATCCTATTTGTAGGGGATTTATTTGGAAGAATGCAAAAAAGTTGCCAAGATACTTGGGGGGGGGTTTCCTCACCACTCTTATTAAAAATTAAAATATACTACAAACCTCCAATAAGTTCAACTACACACAAGAAATAAGATGCAATAGTGTAAGTATGGCATTACATATTAGGAAGACTGGTGCTCTTTTTTTGTTTTGAGATAGTCTCACTCCATAGTGTAGGCTGGGCTCAAACTTGCAGCAATCATCCTGCCTCAGCCTCCTGAGTGCTGGGATTATAGGCATGTACCACAATGGCCAGCTAAAACCGGCTTATTTTAACAAATAACACTGGAACAAGTAGCTAACCCCAAAAGGGAAGAAACAAAACATAAACATACATCTTTTTAGTCTAATTGCAAAACACATGGCAAATGAATTGCAAACCGAGAAAAGAGGGAAAACCCTAGAATTCTACCAGTATCACCTATAAAAACTACCACCTCTCTCCTTGGGAGGCTGAGGCAGGCAGGTTACTGTGAGTTTGAGGCCAGCGTGGGCTACAAAGTAGGTTCAAGGCTAGCCTGAACTGCATAGTGAAACCCTGTGTCAAAAAGAACTCCCCACCAAAAAAACAAACCAAAAACAAACCAAAACTAATGGCTGGGATTTAGCTCAGTGACCTAAGTGGCTGCCTGGCAAGTGTGTGGAAAGTTTGATCCCCAATACCAAAACAAAACAAAACCAAAAAAAAACCCACCAACACCTCTTTCTTTTTAAATGACCCTTGGTTGCCATAATCAAGAAGTCAAATGATTTTGACCCATAACTTATAATTAAGCACCATCTAGAACTAATATTTTTCCTCACAAAATGTTATCCAGTATGTCAAAGAGAAGATCACACTGTACCTTCCTGCCAAACTATACTATTACATGACCTGCTAACTTGATACAGACTGTCAAATTTCCAGCAAGTTAACTTAGGGAAGTAACTAAAACAGGTGCAAAGGCAGTGAGACTTTGGGTCATTTAAGGTAGTATCCTGCTCTTCCAGAACTGAAAGTTATACTATACAGTGAATCTAAGTTCTACATTCTTAAGGCTAATGACACCTAAAATCACTGGCAATTGCCATGTAATAATAATGTAGTACAGCCCAGTGTTAATAAGAGCAGAGGGAAAATCATTCTCACAAATGAGTCTGTCAATGCATAACCACAATTCCTTATCCAAAACTTTTGGGGCAATATATTTACAATTTTTCAGATTTCTCTAGAGGTAATATGGCACCTACTTCACATTACAAACCCCTCAAGAAGTCTGCAGCAGCACTCTGTAAATACACATATTCTTTGCAGAAGGAAATATGAAAGTGAAAAATGAAGACCATATATAGCCTCAAGTTACTTCACGTCACATTTCCTGAGTTTTTAAACTTTTTTTTTCTTTGGTACTGGAGATCAAACACCCAACACCTTGAGCTTGCCAGGCACTTATGCCACTGAGCCAAATCCTGGCCAGAGTTTTTAAACTTGACGCTTCAGATCCTTCTCAATTTCACAACTACAATTAGGTTGTTGCAGAAGACAATATTTGACATCTTTTTTTGTTGTTGTTGTCTTTTTCTTTTTTATCAGTACCAGAGATCGAACTTACAACTGCCTGCTTGCAAGGCAGGCGCTTATGCCACTGAGCTAAATCCCCAGCCCTGAATATTTGACATCTTAAAATACTTACACTTTCTAACCTATCAATTTCACTTCTAGAAATATTTCTTACAGAAACATATGCCTTAGGGTGAGGATGCAGCTCAGTGTAAGAGTGCTTACCTATCATGCATGAAGCCCTGAGTTTAATACCCATTACTAATAGAGGAGGAAGACAACAACAACAAAAAAAACCCTAAGCATTAATAAACTGAAAATCCTAACCCTAACTGTAGGACCCAAAACTATCCCCATGTGAAAACAACCAGAGGTCAAGGTGAAGAGGATTTAAAACCGTACTGCAAGACTCCAGAATTCTTCCAGGTCAGCTAGTACAGGCTCACTCTGGTCATTTCATTAACCTTATTTAAAATGAGTGGAGTTGATTTTTCCCAGAGATTTTTGAGAACCCACTTAACTTACATATGGATTTGATCTTGTAAATCATATGCATGGCCTTGTATTAAAACTGACGTTTGCTTTTTAAAAACTTACATAAATAATCCCACGTTGTATACTACTCACTAACACTATTTTTTTTCTTAGATTCCCCTTTCTCCCTTTTTTTTTGTAACCCAAGGCATATTCTCTTCCTAAATAAAAGTTACTTTGAAAAAAGCAAATCATTCAAGCCAGGCATGGGGAAGCACACTTGTAACCCTACACTCAGGAAGCTGTGGCAGGAGGATGGTAAATTTGAGGCCAAACCAAGCGTAGTTTGGTGCATGGCTATAATCTCAGCCCTGGGGAGGCTGAGGCAAGGGGATAACTGGGCTACAAAGTGAGTTGATGGCCAGTCTGAACTGCATACATAGCATACAAACCTGGCAGGGACTATATACCAAGATCCTGTCTTAAACAAAGCAAAACCAACCAACCAACCAAAACAAACAAACAAACAAACAGAAACAACCAGTTACTCTAGACAAAATCCTTTAGGGGACAATCAAATGAAAAAGCAAGATTTCCTGAAATCTAGCTATGTTGATCTATTGTTCTTTCTTTCTTTTGTTTGAGACAGGGCCTTGCTAAGTTTCCCAGTCTGGTTTTAAACTCCCAACTTGTTAACGACACATAAACAAACGAACTTTTTTTTTTTTTTTTTTTTGTATTTTTACCGGTACCAGGGATCGAACGCACGACCACACGCTTGCAAGGCAAGCGCTTATGCCGCTGAGCTAAATCCCCAGCCCCCAAAAGAACTTTTTATGTTAAAAAACAAAAACAAAAATACTAGTGTGAGTAAAATGCACAAGAGGCCACTGGCACTTGGTCCCACTGCTAACAGTGATTCACAGGGAAAAGGAAAATCTTCCTGAAAACCTATTTAAAATATTCTGGATTTTATAAACAAGTGCAATGATTACCTAATTTAAAAAATAAAACTTTTGGGGCTGGGGATTTACCTCAGCGGCATAAGCACCTGCCTTGCAAACAGGAAGTCGTGAGTTTAATCCCTGGTACCGATAAAAAGGAAAAAGACAAAATAAATAAATAAATAAAACTTTTGGGAGATGTTCTACTTGCCTTCTCAGCATGAAGACAAGACAGGTTCTGGGAGCCACTGGATGTCTATCCCCATCACTTAACCCAACTGTTGTAACCTGAGAGCAGCCAAAGAGCCTGTAAATGAACAGACCTGACTATACTACTACCTAATGAAACACCAAGTCAGTGATTAAAATGTATACTCATGGGGATTTAGCTCAGCGGCATAAGTGCCTGCCTTGCAAGCAGGCAGTCATGAGTTCGATCCCCGGTACTGGTAAAAATGAAAAAGACAAAAAATATGTGTTTTTGTCCCTTCAGATTAAAAAAAAAAAAAAAAAAAAATCAGGATAATTATACAAAATTCTTGAAAGTTGAACTAAGTAACATTCTTAACCTAATCTACATACTTTGAACTTTCTTCTCAACTGAAATAGCCTAACATCTCTTACCTAACCACACAACTACTGGTATATAGTGGACTTCAGAAAGGTTTTCCTTATGAGCACTCTTCATTAAGGACACACACACACACACACACACTCTCTCTCTCTCTCTCTCTCTCTCTCAAAATCTGTTGAGCCTCCCCAATAAGACACATTATTAGACACAGATTATAGACACAGATGGGTGTAGTCT